AGTTCTCCTGCGTCTCACTGAAGTCACCTTCCCTGTCGCTTTGCCTACCATCTCTCCCATCCCTTCCACCGCCACCACCACCGCCGCCGATTGGCGGAGGCGTGCCAGAGAGGGGCGAAGAGAGGGAAGGCATCTTGTGTTGCACACTGGGGTTAAACTGAGTCCGTTGTCCATTCTTCTGACCGCTGGCCATCTTGCTCAGCGGTCGCTTCACCTGTGTCTGCCTGCCTTGACTGTTGTTGGTCATTGAGCAGGCCTTGATTGGCGGGTGTGTCGCCTTCCAGTACGTCTCTAGAAAGTCTGCCAACCTCTCACAGGCGTCCTCTAGTTGATTATCATCAAGAACTATTTCGAACATATCCTGCGCACAAAAAAGGGTGTTAGAAAATGAAAAACCTAAAGAGTTAGCTGCTTCATTACAGGTGGACATTGGACCAGCTTTTCGGCAGCAATCACTTGAACACTAAGACTTCGAGCTTGAGATTTCCCGCGCGATTTAATGAGCCGTTGAAGAACCTAAACAGCCGAGCAACAGAACAAAAGTTAATTTTGCTCAAAGTTGAACAGATTGCACTTTGAATAGCACTTACTTTGGTGGAGGAAATTTTGACGTGCACATTGATGGGCGCCAGTGAAGTCTTGCTCAGTTGCGAAGGATGATTAATTGTATCACAATCGAGAATTACCAGCTGCATAGTGCGAGCCAGTTCAAAGATTCGCTCAATTTCCGCCTGTACTTCGGCTGCAAGACAAGACAGAAGTGGGCATTGTTAGCGGGCAAAGAAAGGCACCGGCAAGCAGTGGTGCATCTAAACACATTCAAAGCACTATAGTGTGTGTCCTACCGACGGATGACGTCCGCGAACCAAGACGGTTATGCTCCAGTAGAACCTTCTTACTAGGATTGTTGAGAATGGACCGTTTCGCCAGGGAGATGTCCGCACTGACACGGGTGATGATAATGCGAGACTCGAAGCGGTGCTTTAGGTAGTCAAAGAGTGCCTTCTGCATCATGTCCGTCACTTCGTAGCCTGCGGTGGTCGGTGACAGTGATTAGCGGTTACTTTTCTATATTTGCTCATGCACCACTCTGGGCGGTTTTTTACCTTTCAGCGAGGGACCAATGAGGACTACTGGCCTCATGGAAGGCACTACGTCGTAAGGTGGAATGTTTTCAGTCTGCGCAAAAAAGAAGAGGAGTCATCAAAGTGGCTAATTGGCAATCAGTCAAAAGAAAGGAGAAGAGAGACAGACCTTCTTGAAAAATGCTTTTCTCCTTTCTTTAGTTGTTGGCGTAGAGACGGACGACTTGAAGCCCCTCGAGTCATCGTCCAGTCCGTTTTGATCTGACCAGTAAAAGTAGACAAGTGGAGGGCGAGGGGGAAAGAGCAGGGAAAGGCAATTGTGCTTAGTGGGCAATTGAAGTGGGCAATGAAGCGAACAGCTTTCCTTACCTGGCGTGGAGCCACCGGAACGAGAATGGCCTTCGTCTACCTTTGAGGAAGAGTTGAAGCGATGCAGCAAAAGTGATCGACTTTTGCCGGCAGACTGTGTGGAAGCCTGCTGCTGCTGCTGCAGCTTGATTCCCTCCAGTTTCATGGGGCTGGGTATAAAGCCAATATCACTGCCCTCCTTGACGATTCGCCCAATCCACCAGTCGTTGTTGTACTTCTGCAAAGGTGCAAAATGAAATGAGGGCAATGTCAGTTAGTGTGTTCCGTGTCAGTGTGAGTGCCTCTGCCACTGAAGCAGCAGAAGCATCGAGAGAGCCTGCATACATCTCTAATGTGGAGAAATTCCTTGATGCCAAATGAGATGGTGTATCCGGGAAGGGGCACATTGTCCTCGCTGCTGGCGTCAAATGATACATTTGTACGAACCGCAAACGCGACGTTTTTCGACTACAAAAGAAAACAGTAACAGAGAGCAGGTGAAAAAAAGTGCGGTGACAGAGATAGTGGCAAACAATGGCCGGGCGTGTAAGTAAGAGGAGAGCAGTAGGTAAGATCCCACCGTTGAAGTAAATGAGGATGAACCATTGAAAGCGAGGAGTTGAACTGTGTGTCAGGCCAAGTGTGACTGTCTGCTTACCTGTGCTTTCTCCAGCTGTGAAAAGGCATGCTGTTCGGCTTCAGCCTTGGCGGCCTGCTTGTCGTCGAAGTAATCGGCGTCTGAAGCAGCTTCACTAAAGCTATAGTTGGACTCGTTACCATCCTGCGAGAGAAAGTGTTGGTGAGCTGCTCGGTGGCACTGTGGAGATCGTAAGGAGTGACTTACAGGTTGCACCCAATCCATTAGAAGGAAGGTTTGCAGGCATCACTTTTTAGTGCAAAGTGCAGGTGTGCAATGCTGATCAAGTCTGGAGGGGAGGTTAGGTGAAGTGAGGCAAAATGTGGAATGTAGAGCACGGCAACAAACTAGGATTCTTGGAATCAGAACAAACACTGAAGAGTTGGAGGATGAGGAAGAGCAAACACAACCAGGCTTAAGGGAGTTATAGCGGTAAAGTGATGTAATGCTGCGACTAGGGCTGAGGAAGAGGATGATGATGAAGTGTGGCTACTGGGGTCGTCGAGGGAGAGAGAGAGACTCAAAGTCCACCAGAAGGGAAAGGGGATGAGGGGGTACAGGACGACTTCACTTGCAGGTGCTGATGCTCCACTCTACGACGGCCTACTCGAAGACGGTGGCCATCCGGCCAGGAGAGAGCACTCTTCTGCTCGCAGCTGGTCTTGCGGGCATCGCCATCGTCGAGAGTGGGTATCTCTGGAGCAGGAGAAAGCGGTGGTCGGCCGAGCAGAAGTATGCAAACGGCAGGCAGGAGGAAACGAGTGAACTGCTGCTGGCAGAGGGAGACCAGTGCCACCAGGGCAGCTTTGCCACTTTCCAAAGATCGACTGAAAGCACCAGCCACCAGCAGACACTCTCAAGTGGCCTCCTTGCAACGCAGCCTCTGCTCTCCTCTCCTCTGCCCCACTTGTCCCAGGACTGGCACAGGCACTGCCACTGAATCAGTGGAGGTTTTGCGACTGTTCCAGAATCGATCAGCTCGTACAGTTCTATATAGTGCAGCACACTACCGTACAGTACTCTCCGCCGGTCTGACACTTTTCGCACTGTCCCCTCTCCTTCTTTGTACGTTGGTGCCAAAAACATACACTCTTTCCCGGCCGACGGCTGGCGGGATGTAAACAAACCCTTGTTAGGAAACCTCGACAAGAATCTCTCCTTAATTAGTGCTCATTGCCCTGTCTGACATTTCCATATATTTCTTTTTTTTTCAAGTTTTTCAAGTTTTTTTGTCAACTTGCCCTACACGCTGACATTCATTTCATAGCAATTAAAGGCACTAGTAACTTTGCTTGCTAGCTAAACTGATTAACTGATAACACTCACAGGTATACTTTGTATTCAGCAGATTCAATTTTCCAGATGACAATAGAAAGCGCGCTTTCTCTTTTTCAGCACCAGCTGACAGTCAGGCTGACACGTTCTTTATGAAAAATCGCGTCAACAAAATATAATAACAATAACAAAAAATGTTTTAAAATAATCAGGACATATCAAAGTTTTTCCGCATGTCATTTAACTTTATATGTCAATTCAATAGTCACTAGTATCTTTCGACAGTGGATACTGAAATCAACATCAAGAACGTAAACCGATGACTATGCAGTATTTGAGCTGTTTTGAATTGTTTTTGAAGCAACTGTTTCTGTTTCAGTTTTCAATCATGTGTGAATAAACCAGTCAATGAGCTCAATTTTCTTCAATGGCCAGACCTTTTCGTTTGATGGTTTTGCGATTCTATCATCAAGCAAGTTTGACTGAAGTCATCATCATCGTCTTCCTTTTTTCATGTTTCTTTCGTGGGCTGATAGTTCCCAATTGGCGCTTTGACGGTTACACTGAAATCAATTTCGTCGCCAACTTTAAATGTGATTTTCATGAGCTTTCTGGTAAGCAACGTAAAATGTCCACTGCAAAAAAATTGGCAATTTACCTGTTTATCTTTCTTTTCAGAAAATGTAAATACTCACAAATCAACAGGAGATTTCAATTTTAAACTACCAACACAGTTCAATAAGGAGCGGTTCATTGAAAATGGTGGCAAGTATGTCAACAAAAACTGCAAAACAGACCAAAATGTGGCCATTATCATTCCTTATCGGAACAGAAGAGAACATTTGCAAACTTTTATAGACTACATTCATCCTTATTTGATCCAGCAAAATGCAATCAACTACCAGGTATTTGTCATTGAGCAAGATGATCTACTACCATTCAACCGAGGAAACCTGCTCAACATTGGCTACTTTGAAGCGTTACAACTGAATCCAGACCTGAACTGTTTCATTTTTCATGATGTTGACATTTTACCCTCGGACCTTCGCCAACTTTACACTTGTTCTCATATTCCACGGCATCTTTGTTCGTATCTGGACAAGTTCCGGTACGTTCTCCTCTATCCGGAGCTGTTTGGCGGAGCTATCGCCATTCACAAGGAGCAATTTGCTCAAACTAACGGATACTCAAACGAGTACAGTGGGTGGGGAGGCGAAGACGACGACTTTTTCTATCGAGTGAAGCACAACTTTGGTTACATTGAAAGATACTCGAAGAGCATTGGCCGGTGTCGCATGCTTAGCCATCACCAAAACAATGAGCTTAGTGAATCTCGGGAAGAGCTACTACAAAATGTCTCTACTCGTGCTCTAAAGGACGGCCTTACTAGTCTTAATCAAACCTATGTTTTAAAGCAGATTGAATACTTTCCAAGTTATGTTAAAGTTAAAGTATCTTTGCACAGCTAACCTTTAATCATGACGAAACGAATAAAGTGTGATAAAAATAAAATGGATGTTTATTCACTTTAAACACCGAATGTTAAATGTGCAAAATAAAATATGATGAATAGTCACCAATAATCGGGCTTGTTGAACGGGAATAAAGTGGGGCAACCGGAAGGATGAACTGCTCAGCAGCTGTCAACACCATTATTAGTCACCACCAGCTTCAGTTTTTGAGACTTTGTTTTTCCGGCCACCGTTATCGTCGTGAAAACGCTTCTTACCTCCTAGATGTGCAAAAATGCTTTTAGTATAAAAAATATGGCTTCTAAATGCAAACTTACGTTGCCACTTTTGCGTTTTCTTGCCACCGAACTGTTTGTTTTGAAAGTCTTGCCAGAACTTCTTCTCCTCTTCTTCACTGGCCAAGGAAAAGTCCACCTTCTTGCCGAGAAACTCGACGGAAACAGGGCCTGTCTCCTCTTCAGACTTGTCTTCTGCTAGCTCTTTGAGTTTTTTCAAAGCTTCTTTCGCGCCGTTTTCCTCGGCAAACCTGACAGTGCACTGAATATGAAAAAAGAATCTAGTTTAGAAAACCAATCAGCTCTTCCTTACAGCGTGTTAATTACCTCAGATTGGCCATTCACGTTACTGACAAAAGCCACCTTTGTGTGTTTGGAAAGTTCTTCTTTAATGTCAGCAAATTTAGTTTCCTGGTCAATGCCTGAAATCTTGAGAATCGCACCCTTGGTTTTGACCACATCGACGTTATTTCCTTTTTCGGCTTTCTTTTGCTTCAAAGATTCATAGAATTCGTTCTTTCGCTTATGATACTGCTCCCTGTAAGCAAATATACAATGATGAATATTTTTTTGCGTGAAACATGGTCACTTTAAACTTACTTATTTTCCTTAAGCAAGACAGTATCATTGTACTTGAGCTCTTGCTCGAGCATTTTATCGGCGTCCTCTTTCTCGACGTAGGTAACCATGATGCAGCCCTTAAACTCGTTTTTGCCTTTGTAGTTTCGTCGCATCTGAACTGACTGCACTTTGCCAAACTTGACGCAAAAAGCCATAATATCATCTAGGATGGAATCCTTGGGAAAACCCTTCAAGTGCAGTGTGCGAAGGTTCAGTTCCTTAAAGTACTCGTCAGAAAGTTCTGGCATAGCTTTAGTGCGACGCAGTTTAGTTGCCTCTTCGTTCAGTTCAACCAGTCCTGAAGTGGAACTTTTGATGCACTTGATCACTTGCTCTTGGTCAGTTGTCAGCTTCTTTAAACGGTTGAAAGTCATCAGCTTTTCGACAGGAAACCCTAATGTGTTGATAAACAAAATTATTATTAAGTAAGGTACGTAGGTTAATAAAGCGTTTTACACTTACATCCATCATCTTGACTCATGTGATACTTCATAAACTTGTCCTGCTTCAAGTTTAAGTCGTCAAAGTAGTACTGTAAATTAAAGACGACAATGATGAAATGCACTGAAACAAAAGGGTGATTGTCAATAAACGTACCTCGACCTGAGCAGTAATCTTCTGCTCCATCTCTTCGTTGGTTTCATTTTCAGTAGAGGTGACCATCTTTGCAAGAATGTTTTCTTTCAAATAAAACTGGCGACTGGCCGGCTAGATGTACGTCTGAAAAGAAAATGTTGACAGCGCCGAAAAAATCCTCGCTCTTCTGGCACGTGTTTTTTGAGGACCATCCACTGATGAGGTGTCATTTAAAAAGATTTTCCCGCGAGACTTGAGCTAAAATGCGTTCTGTCAGAACGCGGCAGAGACAGTTGTCATCACAAAAGGCACCGAAATAGCAGATGACTGACTTACTGAGTAATTCATTATTCGTCTGTCTCTTGTGCTCTTCTTTTCTTGGGGCACTGCCAAGTCGAATTTAGCATTTTGCAATAGCCGATATTACCACCGTCATCAGTTGGATGTTTCAGTAGAAGTGGCGGTGATTGTCACTCTCAGACAATGTTATGACCGTATTAATAAAGCACCGGTGAAATATCCCTTTGAGGAAAAAGAATTTAATTGTTCACCTCCAGTTTTCATCACAAATCTCGTAGAAGACCAAGGAAAGAAGAAGAAGAAGCAGCAGCAGCAGAGGAAGAAGAGCTGACTAAATTAGCTCCCTCTCTCTCTCTCTCTCTCTCTCTCTCTCTCTCTCTCTCTCTCTCTCTCNTCTCTCTCTCTCTCTCTCTCTCTCTCTCTCACAAACACATGGAAGCGGTTGCCCGCGGGCAGCGCAGCAGCTGTCGTTGCCACGTCTTCTGGCAACCAGAGCAGCCGCCATTTTGTTTACATTCACTCCCCCTGATGTGATGGAATGTCGCTCTCTGTGTTCAGTGCTGTTGCGTGTCAAGAATGCCAGTGCTCGGCATTGAAGGCAGCTTACGCAAAGTGAGAGAGTGAGATGCAGACAAGTTCAATTGTGGCAGAGTCTGGCAGAGTTACTCCCAGCTGAATTCATCAGCGGCAGTCATCAGTGTATGTATTGCACCACCGGCGCCACCGGAGGACACATCTTCTCTTCAGAGGCGGACAAATTTAAAGGCCAATTTGTGTACTCTGGAGGTGGTGATGATCACCGCACATACGTACACACCATCACCATCAATGAGAGGCGACAAGAGCTAAAATAGAGCGCGCCAATTCACCGAGAGAGCCTCATTTCGGTGCACTGCCATAGCGATCGCATTCACCACTTCTTCTTCGTTCTGTCTTCATTTGCATCAGCGACATTCATCTGCCGACGACATTCACTCCTGTACTGTTCTCTACACCTTTTTAGTGTTCTACCTCAACCTGCTGTCATCTAACTTTTTATTGACCACTTGTTACCTGTGTATCGTGCAGCTGCTCCCTCGGTGACTGATGCCGCCCTTTCGAAAGCCCAATCTGGTGACGCTCCGACGTCAACTGCCAAACCAGGCATGGGGTTTCAGATTAGGAGGCGGTGCAGAGATTGGACAGCCTTTTCAAATTCAAAAGGTCAGTATTTCCTTTTTTTGACACTTTATTCACCCCAACATCACATCATATTTCTGTAGGTCACTCCAGGCAGTCTTGCATTTTTGGGAGGATTGTCCGAGGGCGATGAGCTAGTACGAATCGGCAACATTTCTCTTCGAGGACTAACACATGATGAAGTTCAGCAAATTGTTCTGAGATGCAGTCACTGCATCGACTTGTTTGTGTTCAGGTAGTTTTTAGTTGAGCACTAATGAAAAGGAAAGCTGATTCTAAAAAGATTTTTTAGGAATGATGGAGGAGACGTCACACCTCGCTTTGAACTAGTCAGCAGACCCGAGCTGTTCAGCAGACATGAGCAATTTCCACGGTTTCAGTCTGCTCCAGCGTCGCCAACCGTGAAAAGCCAGCCGCCAGTCTTTGGCAACAGTATGCCTCATCCTGACATTAATCAAATTCCTACTAGTCAAGCACTGGGCAGCCCAGGGGTTGACATGAGACAAGGTTGGTTCAATTCTACTGCTTAGCAACTCAAACTTAATCTGTATTTTTTTGCAGACTTCAACCGTTCACCTCGCCCATTTGATGCCAATGTCAGTCCTGTTTTCGGGCAAGCAGTGTCACCCACCCAAGCAGGCTATGTACAGCAGCAACCACAGCTGGCAATGCCAATGGTCGACACAAAACCTGGCTCACCAGTTCGAGATCCACGAGTCTTTGGAATGAGTCGTGGCAGCAAGTCACCTAATCGACCTAATGTTTCGCTTTCCCGTGAAAACTCTAACCCCAATTCACCAATTCCTCCAGCCTTACCCATGACACAGTCTTCAATGCCAATGGTCAATAATGCAAACAGTCAGTCGATTCCCACCACTCCTGCAGCCACAAAGAACTTTGCCTTCTTCGACAGTAATGATCTGAACAACAATCCAATGAACGGTGGCGACAAGAAGATCTTTGGTTTGCCCTCTCGCGGTGGCTCAAAGATGATTTCCCCGCTTGGCAACCACGGTGTGCAGCCAGTGAACAATGAACAGCGTCGAGTGTTTGGAATGAACCCGAGACAGCGCTACAACAGCTTTTCCTGCGATCACGACTGGAAGACCGCCCTGCCAATAGTGAACATCCCCAACACTGATCAGCTGTTGCCTTCGCAGACAAAGCAAATGCAGACGTACATTAACCAGACGCCGCCCACTGAAAAGAACTTGCGACCATCACTCATTGGACTGGAGCGTCGACGCATTCGGCCAGTGTGGCCACCGCCGCATCCAGGCCGCCTCCACAAGGTCGGCTTTCAAGTTGAGGGCAGAGGTAAGCTTAGTTGGCTTTTCACAAGGAGTGTTTTCTCATGTACTTGATTGTGCTCTCTAGACTCACCAAGCAGCAAAATGATGAACTGGCCGCCGAGAGCGCAATCGGTAGATCGGGACTTTTCTTACGGTGAAGGGGTGCGTGGTCAAACACCGGAGCGCTGCATGTCGCCCTTTTCAAGTTCTCGCGTTCAGGTGGCGACAAAGATCTGGCCGCCACCGTCAAATGCCACACCGGCGGGCGCGTCTGGCTTCATCGGCGACGAGGGCGACAACTACGCCTACAATCCTGCTGGTCAGGTGCTGCCGGGAGTGGTCAGCTCGCACATACCGCCCACCTACCGACCACCACCAGGAGCACTGCACCTAATGGTGAATGACTTTTAGTCAAGTGAACGTGCTAGCCAAGTGCAGCAGCAGCAGTATATAACCTGATATGACCTTAACCATCGTTTGTATTCAATACAATTCAGTACCGTCTAACAACCGCTTACTCTTCTCACCCAAAGCGTGTGCTCCTTTGTTCATTCTCAAATATAACACCTTCTAATGCACATTGTCAGTTCCCGTGTTTTATGTTTGGTTGAGAGGTATTGCACTTCAGCATCAGAATGGAGGTCAGACAGAAAAGAATGGCTCAGAGACTTCTCTTGTCCCTTGCTCACCGTGGTCTCATTTCAGTGGGAGCATTCCGCAGTGCACATCAGTGTGTGTCTGTTATTCGTGACATTCGGTCTACTTGCGATGCTATCAAGGCAGTCCGTGCCTGCACGCGGCGCCGTCAGCCTTTGATGTCAAAACCTGATGAGCCTGTGCTGATCATCGCTCAATGGCCTCCATTGCCACTGAAAAGAGTGCAGCAGCAGCACATGCCGATAGCTTATCGGTGACAATTTACAGGCAGAAGCGCGCATTCAGGTTGAGGAATGTGCAAGTGTTCGCATTCAACAGGCACTCAGAGGCAGAGGATTGCGGCAAAGAGTGCAGGAAGAAGAATGCTTTCACAAAGACAGCGAAAGGCTTAATAATGCGCCCTTGCCCCATCAGCAGCAACAGTGTCTAAGCAGCAACAGCAGCAGTACTTCCCCTGACATGGTGAATTGTGTCTGCGGTGCAGCCTATATAGCAGTACAATTGTCCGGGATCGAAATCGGAACAAGTGACTAGTATTTTTAGACGACTGCAACCATTCCTCCGGCGACTCATCGAGAACAGCAGCACTCCGGGACCTAAAGAGTTTTCCGTCGGCAGTTGCGCTTGCATCGACAGATTTGCACAGAACATTCAAAGTGGAAACAGAAGAAGAATACGAAGAAGAAGATGTAGTAGAAGGGGCACAGAGAAAGAGAAGAGGTAAATGAGAACGATGTGTCTGTCTTGCTGACTGGCTGCCTGGTTGCATCGAGCAATAATCGCAAATGAGAATCTCGTCTTGGCGCACCGGTGGCACTGTGATGCGCCCGCAGCTCTGTTGATGCTGCTGCTGCCGTTAGGATGCTCTACTGCTCTCAACTGCTCCAATACGACTACATCGAAGGTTGACGTCGATTGAGCTGCTCATCCACTGCCACCAGCAGTGCACCACCACCACCACCAGCACCATCAACGCCAGCCAGCACCAACAACCAGCAAGTCAGGAGCAGCAGTAGCGCCACTGCGACCAATTCAAATCACCAGTTGGGATTGAGTGAAGACGCCAACGGCGCGCGCCAATCGACGTTGAGTCTCTGCCTAGCGGAGACTGCATCAAGACAGCAGAATCGAGCACTTCAATCGAGTCATTCGTCGTGTGATAAATCAGTGCGCGCCCCAGTGAAGCTCGAGTCGCACTGAAGACTGAAGCCACGATTGTGTGCCTCCACACTTGTTGTGTTCTTCATCCCTCTCATCGGTCCTCGTCAGCAGTTAGCAGTGACCCTTTGCCTGTGACTGTTTACGCCACGTTCCCCAGCGAGGACACCCCATCGCCACAGCAGTTCAGCACCAGCAATCAGCGCCAGTGCGAGTGAAACACCGATCAATCATGGCGAGTGGTCAGTTTGTTACGGCAAAGTTGATGCGAAGCGGCAGTGAGACGCCCTGGGGATTTCGCCTGCAAGGTGGCCTCGAATTTGGCCAACCTCTTTCCGTTGTCAAAGTAAGTTCCAGTTCCTTTGATTGCTGTAGCTTTTTGATACCTCTAGTACAAAACCTGCAAAGACTATGATCGTGAATGGATGCACTCTTGTTTGCTAGTGTTGTTTATATTAGCAGTTAGGTGTTCAGCACAGGCAAGTTTACAGTTCGTTTTCGTGTCAACTGCCAACCGTGTTTTGGATGAAAACAACAAGTGTGTTGCTGGAAAATGGTGGATGCGGCACACTGGCACTTTTCCCTGAGCGGCATCACTCAATCACTACTCAATAGCAAGTGCCGTTTTCCATCTCTATTCTGTCCATCTGGGCGCCCATCTGCTACTGCTATGAGCGCCATGTTCAAAGCCACACAGCCGACAGCAATCGATCGGCCCAGTTGTGTCGACTGCACTGACGGATCGCTGATGGCGGCGGCGACGTCCGTTACCGCTTCGTTAGCTTCCCCCGGCGACTCTTCTTGCTCCTCTGCCAAAGATGCTGCAGCCAGTTTTTTTGCCAGTGGCATTCGAACCACTTTCGCTGGTTGGCTGACATGCCTGAACATTCCAGCCGGCAATAGCAGCAGCAGCAGCAGCAGCACCATTCCTTGGCCAAGATGCCTCACGCAGTCAACTGGAAGCCACTTATTCTTTCTTTCTCTGCTTCTGTCTCACCCTTTCGTGGCCAAAGACAGCAAAGGCGCGAGTAATAATAATTGGCCAGGCGGTAATAACATTATCAACAAGGCAGCATTTAGCTCTATCTAAAAAGAGCAACCGAGCCCTTCTCTCCCTTTCTCCTTTCCTCGCTCTCTGAGACTCTGCGAGTGTTCATTGCCAATATTGTTTGCGCGTACTGCTATGCAAACTAGTAGTAGCACTGCTGCTGCTGCAGCCCTCCTCGTTGAGCTGTCTGTCGTAAATCTGTCTGTTAAGCAGTTTCGAGACATTACAGATCAAACATCAACAGAGCGGTATAAATAGAGTAGGCTCAAATCAAATGCATTTTCTAGGTCTATTGCATGGGGTATTACACCAAACACTAAACAGTAGCCGGACTGCTCCACTTTGCAACATAATTTAAAGCTGTAAAATATGAACAACTCAACAGTAACGGGATGATAATATTTACTGTTGACAGGTCACACCCGGAAGTTTATCAGACCAGACTGGTGTTCAAGTGGGTGACATTTTACTGAAGATCAATGGCAAAGAGTGCGACAAGTTGCGCCACAAGGACGCTCAAGATGCAATCATTTGCGCGGGAAACTACTTGGAGCTTTATCTGGAAAGGTATTTATCTGGATTGTGTGGTCAATGACACTCACACACACACTGATGACATTTGTGGTCAACCAACACAGAGGTCCAATGAACACCTGGAGACCGTCGGTGACTCCGGTTGGTGACTCTGGCAGACCAACCTCGCAGGCTGGCAACCAGCAGCTGTACACGAGAACATCACTGGCTAAATCACCCGAGGTGAGTTTCTGTGTGTGTGCTGATGTCTCCGAGTGATACTGATGCCATTGACCGTTCACTGACAGAAAGTGGCGCCCATTGGAAGCGGTCACAACACTGCAGCTAAACCATTTGCCAATCAGGCTCAGCCTACCTTGGTGCACAAGCAGTACAACTCGCCGGTGAATCTCTACTCTGAGAGAAACATTGAAGAAACACTAAACGCCCACTCGCAAGTGCTGGCCACGGGTGCCACTGGGTACGAAACGAGTCTGTTTTGTCTTTATCTGTTTTTATGACAATTTGTCTTTAACAGCATCAACTTTATGCGACCAGACGCTCCGGTGAACAAGGAGTCGGCAGTCTACCAGATGGTACACGATGAAGAAGTTCGCAAATCTAAAGGTGAGATCTCCTCAGTTGTAGACCTGCAACAGAACAATAATGTACCGTTTTTTCAGGAATCTCTGGCTCACCCGACATAAAGAATGGCCATCCAGAGTACCTGTCTGCGGCAGCGGCATCAGCTCCCGGTGGCAATGTGGTAAAGCACGTGTCTGCACCGAGTGGCAAACCGATTGCCCCGGCAGCTGATAACCCCAATCGAAACATCTGTAGCGAGTGCGAAAAGCTCATTGTGTACGTTTAGTAAAATGGGTAAAAAGTACTTGTCAGCTAACAACCCCTCCTTTAATGTAGCGGCGTCTTTGTGCGCATCAACAACAAGTCTTTGCATGCCGAGTGCTTTCGCTGTGCGACCTGCGGCACTTCACTGAAAAACAGTGGTTACTTTAACATCAACGATAAGCTGTACTGTGACATTCACGCGAGACAGGTGAAAGCAGTTCTGGGCGCCAGTGCCACGCTCACTGCCGTCACTGCACCTGCTCTGGAAGGCACCACTTACCAGTGAGTTTCTTCACTCAAACTACATCTGTCACTTTTGATCTCTACTGTCTGCATTTTTTGTCAACCAGAAATGGCAGCAATCAACCGTTGCAGCAGCAGCCAAATGGTTATTCGACTGCACCTCAGCCGGCAGTCATTTCTCCGCCGCCCGTGGCAGCATCAATACCTGCACCAGTTTCAAACAACTACGCGCCATATCAGGTAGGGACAAATTCAGCTAGTGACCAACTAACAAATTAACGCTGTCTTTCACCACAGCCACAGCCTTCACAAATGAGCTCTTCGCAGAATGGCTTTCACAGCTACTCATCGCCGCGCAAATATTCTCCGGTAGCGCCTCCAACTGCTCCCAAGCCAAACTTTGTAAGTACTCGATGAAAATGATACAGTTTTTAGTTGCCATTACTGGATTAATCTCTTCTTTTAGGCCAATCGCAACTCAATGTATGTGAACAATCCGTCTGCATTCAGCGTGGAAACTCACTCCACTTCAGGTAATCATTGTGGCTTCAGAAAAAACTGTTTTTGCCTTTGTTTTTGCTTTTTCTTGAATGTTTTTGTTTTAATTTGTCGTTTTCGTTGTTTACTTTGTGCATGACATCACATTCCTTGATTGCCTGTTTATTCCATGTGTGCTTAAACTGCAGTTGAGGCGCCCAAGTTTAATCAATGGCCTCCTGCGGCAAACACCACCGAGAATGTTGTTACATGTAAGCATGATGATCCACCCCCATTCTGCATGAAGAGTCCACTGTTCACTGGTTTCATTTGTTCATTTTCTACCCCTTTGCTTTTAAACTTTGACTCTTTCCTCTGCCTACTAACACTAACTCAGACCGCCAGACTACTACCCAGCATTCTGAGCGACCCAAGTCTTGCTTTAACTTGCCCTCGTACTCGGTGACGCAGAGCACCTACAGCACCAGCACTACTAACCACCCGCAGCAGCCAAACTCTAGCGCTAATGTGCAATTTCCCAAAACAGCAACATTTGCTTCCAGCACGCAGACGACCACGCAGAAGGTGATTCAGCCGCCTTCACAGCTTTCGCAGCAGACTACCAACTTTGGTCCCGCCGCAAACAGTGCTCCTCGACAGCAGTGGCAAAACAACTCTAGCAGCAGCAACTTTGCCAAGACTTTGACGACACTCGCTGACTCTCGCTCGGCGCCTCGACGAGGTCGAGGTTTGCTGCAGAGTCAGCTGAGCGGTGGGGTGATTCCGTTCTGTGGATACTGTAGTCAGCCCATTCGGTACGATGCCTAAGCTTTCTAATATCATTTTGCATTGACGTCATCTTTTACATCCCAGTGGCCAGTACATTATGGCTCTAAACAAAACCTGGTGCCCCAATCACTTTGTGTGTGCCAACACTCTCTGCAAGCGTTCACTCGAAGAAAATGGCTTTGTCGAGGAGCAGGGTCGTCTGTACTGCGAGTCGTGCTACGAAACGCACTTTGCTCCAGCCTGTGCCAAGTGCAACCAGCGAATCAAAGGGGTAAGTTGATTGGCTAGTTGAGTTGGGTAATTGTCAAATTGGGTATTTTCTCCTCCACAGGACTGTCTGAACGCCCTGGACAAGCAGTGGCACCCCAACTGCTTCAGCTGCTCCTACTGCAAGAAGCCATTTGGAAACAGCTCCTTTTACCTGGAGGATGGCTTTCCGTACTGCGAAAAGGACTGGAATGATCTCTTTACGACAAAGTGCGTTGGATGCGGACTGCCCATTGCAGCTGGCGACAAGTGGGTGGAGGCGCTAAACCAAAACTACCACTCAAACTGCTTCCGATGCACCGTCTGCAAGGGCAACCTCGAGGGTCAGAGCTTCTTTGCCAAGGGAGGCCGTCCCTTTTGCAGAGCTCATGCCAGATAAGTGACGACAAGTGATGGGTGCCCTTCTCTTTCTCTCTTTGTTTACCCACCAGCTAGTTCACCCGTTACCAGTAGTGTTTGTGCCTTATTATTTATTTATTAACACCGACGTTTGAGTTACATTTAAATGCAATTTAACCAATGGCCCTGGATGGCCTCACTCATTGCCTTCCTTCTACAAATAAAGATTTATTTATTATTCACAACGTCAACTTGTCATTATTTAAAGATGGAAATTGGTTGAAAAAGCTCTAATCGGTGAAAATCAGGAGCCGTGTAATTTGGGTTGTTTGAAGGGGCAGGAGACAGTGCCAAGTAGGTTCGCTTTGGTTCAGTGCCATAGATAGCGTAGCAGTTGATGCGTGAAATTTTGGCCGGCAGAATGTCTTTGGGAATAAGAGCAGTGCCAGTCCATCGTCGGCCGCTGACTTTGGACTGGTAGTGAGGCAGTGCAATTGGATATCGAGTGACATTTCGGTAGCCTTTAAGCTCCAGCACCAAATATTGACCTAAAGTATGACAATTTTAAAATTTAGTAAAACAAAATATTTAGGCCTTTCAAAACTTTACCTTTGGGGCCGAGCTCAACTTCCAAGTAGTGGTCATTTTCACCGAGCAGAAACACTTCCACCACCTCGTAGTTGTACAGTTTTTCCATGGTGCCCGGACGATCGGTCATGTCAGGCAGGTGGGGATTGTTGTAAAAGGGCGATGACACTTCAATGGTCAAGTTTTGGTCGTACTTGAGGTTGATGTTTACGTGGTGCTCTCTAGAAACTGGATGACCATTCCAGGTTTTGGTTATTTCCAAGTGTGCAGAAGTCATTTTAGAGCCGGCAAAAACAAACACCGCCAGAGAGGAGAGGAGTGTCACAAAGAGCAGTGAACGAGCGAGTAGAGGAGAGGGTAATAGTGCCATACTGGTCGAAGGAGCGATAAAGCGTGAATTGCAGACGATTATTGAACCACCAAAGCAGTGAGTAGTATACACACGTTAAACGTCAGCGACGCAAAGGGAGCCTTTTATTTGCAGCTTAGTCAGAGTATATAACGGTAATTTGCTTGGTGAAGGACTATGGCAAGTGGTTGTGAGGAGGATGCTGCTGCTGATGATGGTGGTGGTGGTGGTGGTGCTTGTAGCTCAGTGGCCCTCATCAACTGGAGAACATTTAGTGAGTGGGTATTTATGGCTAATCAAATGCAGCGAGTAAAGTNGATTATTGAACCACCAAAGCAGTGAGTAGTATACACACGTTAAACGTCAGCGACGCAAAGGGAGCCTTTTATTTGCAGCTTAGTCAGAGTATATAACGGTAATTTGCTTGGTGAAGGACTATGGCAAGTGGTTGTGAGGAGGATGCTGCTGCTGATGATGGTGCTGGTGGTGGTGGTGGTAGTGGTGGTGCTTGTAGCTCAGTGGCCCTCATCAACTGGAGAACATTTAGTGAGTGGGTATTTATGGCTAATCAAATGCAGCGAGTAAAGTGGATGTCCGACTAGCACAATCGTATGGGAAATCAGCAAATTGAGGGAAAAGGGAGAGAGAGGGCAGGGAGGGAAAGCCTAGAGGCATCATGTGGCCAAGTGACAAGTGAGAACGCTGAGAAGGAGATGCACACGACGTGAGATGAGCTACAGTGGGAGTCAACGCCAAACGGTAAAGACTGTCGTCGGATTCTAGCAGACAAGTTGGACAAGGCCTCTGACCACGCTGGTGCACTACGGTTTTAACAAGGCAGCACCGGACTCGAGCTAAGGTCAACTCAAAAGTAAAGAGGGGCAAAGTGAGGGC